GCTAGAGCAATCATCTTGGATCATGTGGCTACCCTGAAGAAGGCAGCTCTGCACTAATGGAGGTGGGGGAGAGTTAGCAGGAGCCCAGGTCCCAGATGACCATGGATTTGCCATACCAGCTTACCTCTGTACTCTCATGTGTGAGAAAAAGCCAGCCTCATTGAAAACAATTTTATTTTGTGTTCCTAGTATTAGAGGCTGAACTTAATTCTTAATGGGTATACATAATAAATGCTGGTCAAGATTATTGGTCTCTCTTTGCATCATTTCCCTAACTCTGTGGGACTGTCTGCTATGATCTCCAGGCTGATCTGACCTACCACATTGGTCACTTACTTGTTCCAGTTAAAACAGGAAAGAAAATACACACTGCAGCAGACCCAGAGGCATATTAATGCCACAATTAGCCAGGTTTTTCTTTAGTTGGAGCCATGAGGAGCAATATTTCTTACCCATTCTTTGTCAATGTGCTGACTAGCTTTTATGACCTGCAAGAATGCATCCTTGGTCAAGGAAATCTTCATATTATCTGCATGCTGTGATAATATTATTATTATTTAATCTATAATAATAAAAGCATAATATGGCGGAGTGGTTATGGGTGATCAGGCAGGCTGGCAAGCTGTTAGGAGCCAGTGGTCCCAGATTGTGAGAGGGTGCAGAGAACGAGAAAGAGAGAGAAAGATGGAAAAAAACCACTCGCCTGCCTGCCTGATTGTCCCTAACTGTTCACCTGCCTGCATGATAATCCCTAACCACTCTTCCTGCCTGCCTGATTGCCCCTAACTGCCTCTACCTCAGCCTCTGCCATGGCGGCTTCATCCGGAAGTATGTCCAGAATGATGTCTGAAAGGTCGTCGGCTGTCCGGTCTAATTAGCATATTATGCTTTTATTATTATAGAAGATTAAATTTAGAAACAGTTTTCAGTCTATCTCTACCAAATGAGTAATTTAGCATACAAACATGTATGCACTTATTTATTTTTATTAAAAACCATGCAGCTGAGAATTAAATAATTTATACATAAATATATATATGAATACCTGACATTAATAAAGCCCTAAGTCATAGAGGAAAAATATTGTTATATATATATTATTCTCAGCATGCAAGTTTGGAGGAAAAAGCCTCGAGCCTCAATCAGTCTTTAAACTTTGATAGTTTTGCAAATCAGTTCTAATCAGTAGCAATGGGACCATTTCTTAGATGAGGCTTGCAAAGTAGAATTTTTATGTTGCTGGGACAAAAGCCAAGTGATAAACACAACATCTGATGATCTTACTGATCTCCTGAGGAAATACCTTACATGCTTGTAAAATGAGGAAGTCTAATATAGTGGAGTTTGTTTTTTACATTATTCTCACTGAACTTTATTTATCTTTATTTTTATTGATTTCAGAGAGGGAGAGAGAGATAGAAACATCAATGATGAGAGAGAATCATTGGCTACCTTCTGAGCCTGCAACCCGGGCATGTGTCCTGACCTGGAATTGAACCGTGACCTCCTGTTCCATATATTGATGCTCAACCACTGAGCCACACCAGCCAGGCTCATGCTAAACTTTAAAAGCAGGATGCACACATACTAAATTATTACTGATCTACCAGATTAGTTTTGAACTTGTTGAATAACCACAATCCCTGCTCTTTCTGAAAGCTGGCATTTATTAAACTTACAGAGTTCCCCATGTTCCTGATGTTAGTTATAATTTCAGGGGTTTCACCTAAGTCAGAGTAATACATGATTACTCTCATTGATTGCTTGCTGTTTGTAGTATCCATATATCATTCATTTAGTCCATTCATGCTGACCAAAGAAGTGAAAAATGTGAGGAATATGCTTTTTGTAAAATGTCCAGTTACTTACTTATAAAGCACCAAAGGCCAATGATGATAATGTGGTGTGAGCTCAGCGTGTGATTCACGGGTCCCCCTGAACCTGAAGTTCAATTGTAAAAAGAACCCATCCACTGTGGGTTGTCTCAAATAGTTCAACATCATATTTATAATCTTGTACAGAACTGAAATTAAAGTATTGATGTTACAATAAGCATGTTGGTTTAGGAATGTAACTTCTTAAAATATCATTTCAAAAAGAGCTGAAAGCATCTATGGAGTTGGTAAAAAAAAAAGTTTTATTTTATATAATTGTATGGATTGCTATCTCATGAACATATTATTTATAAAAGGTAACAGGGCAAAAGACAAACGAAACAAAAAAAGCCACCAGGTATCTACAAATAACCACCTTCGAAAGGACTAAGAGGAAAATAAAATTTTGGTGCTAGATAAGACAAAGGCAAAGTCAAAGAACTTCTCAAAATAATAATAATAACAATAATAGGTCATTTGGTTATGACACTATTAATAACCAATTTGACTAATTCCATTGCTCACTAATATACAGTGACTCTTCTGGTTATTGTAAGATCCAAATAATGTAATCTATGAGTGAAGCTACTCTGGACTGTCTACAATAGATGCTAAATGGAAACCCCAGAATTCACCCAGAGTGTCTTCTGAATGTGAAAAAGTGCCATGTGTAATTTAAAATTTTTTTTAATTCAATCTTTTACCCACACTGAGAATTTTAGCAGTGTCTTCCCAGTGTAAAACCATGTCTTGTCACTCCACTATATTCAGAATTTGTACTAATCCTGACAGAAGTTGAAACCACAGTTTCCATTTTATGTTTACTCAACAAAAGGCCTTCTTTCTGAGCTGGTGCAAACTGATAGTTTAAACAACCAAAATAAATGAGTAGGTAGAAGTATTTTTTAAAGCACCCGTTTCCATTGCTAGAGCTGTGAGGGTGTCAGTGGAAGTATCTGTCACTCCATGGATGTCAAGGTTGATCCAATGCTGTGTGCTCGTGTTTGGAATGACAATGACCTTCTTAGAGAAGTCACATCACTGGGTTAAGGTAGACACTTTTACATACTCATTAAAACAAGTTTCCTGCCCTGGCCAGTTTTGCTCAGTGGATGGAGCTTCAGCCTGGGACCGAAGGGTCCCAGGTTTGATTCTGGTCAAGGGCATGTATCTCAGTTGCGGGCACTGGTCGGGGTTCATGCAGGAGGCAACCAATCGATGTGTTTCTCTCACATCGATGTTTCTCTGTCTTTCCCTCTCTCTTCCACTCACTCTAAAAATCAATGGAAAAATATCCACAACACAACAAGTTTCCTAAAACAAACAAACAAACAAAACCTAACAAGTTTCCTTAGGAGTTCAACGAGGCAATGTTATTAACCTAGTGTGCTTAAAATGTACAAAAATGCAATAAAATATATATCTCTAAAATATTCTAGTCAGATTTTGTTCTGATTGGCTACCCAATTGGGGGCAAATTAATGAGATTTTCACAAACAATAATCTGAAATATAAAATTAAATTTGGGTTTAAAATTTCTTGACATTTCTTGACATAAACCTATGATACCTATTAATTGGATGGTAATAAAAAAAGACACAGGATGCTGGAACTGACCCTTGACTGTTTGACCCATACTAATTTCATATATCTTGCCAGAATTAACTATATTTTTAAACATATACACTGTGCAATTATAGAGGTTAGTACATTTTTCAGATATAAACTCAATGGCATGTTGCTGAAGTTGGCTTCTTCTAGAATTTGAAGTTATTTTAAATAGTGAATGAGAATATTTTTAAAAGATCATAAAAATATTGCTTCATTGAATCTCATTAAAGTAAGATTCCAAGACCCTTATACTTCTCAAAACTTCTAAAGTCCATTATCTAATTGAGTTGGGTGAAATTTACAGGTCAAAGTGTTCAGCAAAAATCTTAGCTACTTAGAGAAAGAACTGAGACTCTTCTGAGAGTCACACATTGATGAGAAACAGACTGAAAATAACCAAAATAGGCAGAAATGGTGATTCAGAAAGTGGCAATGTTGGCATAACTATCTGAGAATCACAAGTTGTGGACCACAAGTTGAACATGAATATGTAAAACAGCAGTGGAGACAAACAAAAAATGCCATATTAGGATGTCCCAAAGAGAATATGACAGATAAATCTGTTGAAGTTAGATACCACGAAGACCATCTTTTGCCAGAGCTCTGTGCAGTGCCAGGATAGCAGAATAGCGGTGGTTAAACACAGCCAGACAGTTCTATTGTTCACTGTGGGGCAAGACCTCCTTGATTTGGAAGCCTGCCTTTAAAGGTAAGGGCATAGTTCAGGAGGCACATACTAGGTAAGGGATTCTGACAGGGAGGAGGGTCCGGGTTTTGTTATGCGTTAACACAGCCTTTCAAACACAAGGCCCCAGATTCAGCAGTAGATGTTTGGTGAACCTTATCTCCCCTTAGTGTATATGGGAAGCAGGAAAATAAACAAAGCTTTTATTCTTTGTTTCTTTCCTGGAATAAAATATCAGGTGGCGTAGATGACCTGAGGACTCCCCATTTGCTAGATTGCTTTAAAGGTCAGAATTTGAAAATTAAGGATTAACTGGAGATTGATAGTACATGAGTGGGAGTGATAAACAGGCCCTTCTGCATTTTGTGCCATTTCCTCTAGCGCGAGGATGTCAACAAATACCACGTAGAAATCACGCAGAATGTCATCTCTGACAGGCTGATAGTGACTTCCTGCAAAGCTGAGATGAGAGGACATGAAGCGTGTCCCAACACCGAGTGAGATAAGTGACATTGGCCACAGATATTTGCTATTCCCGTTTTGCTTGTTTCAAGTGACCTTAAAGATCTCAGAGACATACAAAGGTGGCAGATGACCCCACCACCCACTCTCCCTACCTATATACTACATGCAAGGGAGCTGTAGTGAGAACAAAAATGAGCTTTGGGCCCTGACTGGTTTGGCTCAGTGGATAGAGCGTTGCCCTGCGGACTGAAAGATCCCAGGTTCGATTCCAGTCAAGGGCATGTACCTTGGTTGCGGGCACATCCCCAGTGGGAGTGTGCAGGAGGCAGCTGATAGATGTTTCTCTCTCATCAATGTTTCTAGCTCTCTATCCCTCTCCCTTCCTCTCTGTGAAAAATCAATAAAATATTTTTTTTAAATGAGCTTTGAGGACAAAGTAGGGGATTTTAGCTGAGAAAGAAAACGTTTGCTCTTCCATCGAAGATTCCCATGCCTCTGAGAAGTTCCCAAGAGTGACGCGATCTAGCTGATGTGGGTCCACAGGTCACCAAACAACATCTCAGGACTGTGGACTCTCGCTGCATCCTCCTGACAGGTAGAAGCCAGTTTACCAACCTCCTGGGATAGTGTAGACAGTAAAACACCTGCTTTGTTTGCTGTCTTCTCTGAGCGTGAGACACTCGCCTTGAGAAACCTTCCTGCTGAATGCAGTTGACCTACCACTTGACTAATCAGAGGAAATTATCCAAAGCTAATTAGGTAACAGTGTGACCCAGAAGGAAACAGATAAAACAGCTGCCTGATTTAAACCCTGAGGAATGAGGCAGAAAGGTAACAAGGACGCAGAGAGCATGGCCAGAGTGAATGCAGTCCATGAGAGGTTGGCTGAGAGGAGGGAACACCCTTTGATTAGAGGCGAATGTATCCTATGGCTCCTCCACCCTCGGCGATGGATGTCAGCCAGGCCTTTTCCTTGGACTTCTCAACAGCACATTCTTCCAAGTACAGGTGATGCCATCCTTCAGAAGAGTGGGCGTTGGGAGAAGCAGCAGAAGGTTCTTGTGTCTATGTTGATTTGAAATTAATTAAACCTGTATCCTCTTCATCCTCTGTTGGCAGGCCCAGCGGGCTCCCCCCGGGCTGCTCCTCTTGGAGAACATTAGCACCATTCAGTTTTAGGATTCATTATCACTGCAAAAAAAACACAGAACAGTTGTGTGTTTCCAAGAAGCTACCCAGAGCTGGTCACTTCACCATGGAGGTGACTCATGAGAGCATAAACAGTCAGCAAGCCAACAGCCTTCAGTTTACAATTTCTAAAACAAAAGTCAATTAGGATATTTTAGTTGATCCGAGAAGAAAACTCATGAAGGCCAAGAAATAATCCCTAACTGTTGCTCTAATATCCTTCCCTAGTGCTGACGTGGAGAGAACCAGATGGAGTCAGGGGTTCCCCTTTTAATTAAATCTAATCCCATTCTCTATGCATAAATGCCAATTGCCTTTTTTTTTTCCTTTTAAAAAAATGTCCATGTGTTGTTTTCCCTGAGTTTGTGGCCCTGGCAGGATTTCCCCTACCCCCCAAGCCCATTTTGTTCATATCAACAGGATCTGGAGGTGCCCTCTCAGTGTCCTTTAGAATCCGATCATCAGGCACCCTGGGGTGTGAGTTGACATTCATTATGGATGTGGTATTTGGACATGACCATGCTGGCTGGCTAACTTGTGCTTTGTTTCTAGCGTGGCTATCTCTGCCACATACCTGGCTTTTCCCCAGTAGGACCAAGCCACCATTCAAGTCTCCTGGAAGGCAGGCCACTCTACCTCTCCTCCACATCTCTCTGCACTTTGGTGTCCCTTCACTCAAATCCTAGCACATCTGAACTTGAAGCGACCTCTGTCTCCAAGGAAGTGCCTGAATGAGAATAATCAACATGACCTGGTGTCTCCTTAGTTTATAGGCGTATGTAGTCTGCAATAGATTGTTCTTCTGACTCCTGCTCCGGTGCTCTCCTGCTCCGTGAAACACCCGGTGTTCCAAAAAGGACTCTGAAGCAACTTGATAGGTAGATCCATGAAAAAGGAGGGAAGCATTGTGTGTGTGTTTGTGCTATGAAGATGGGGAAGAGGTTGTGATAAGGAGGGATGATCAATGGGAAAGAAGGGGGAAGGCAGACATTGTCAAAAGGACAACTTCTGTAGCAAAACTTATTTAAAATGAAGCCTAATTGAAAATTAAGACCCTTTTTTCCCTAATTCTCACCCAAGGATATTTTTTCCAATGATTTTTAGAGAGAGCGTGGGAGGGAGGGAGGAGGGGGTAGGAAGGAGAGAGAGAGAGAAACATCGATGTGAGAGAGACATTTACTGGCTGTCTCCCTCACCCTGACCAGGGACCGGGGATTAAACCTGCAACAAGGTACATGCCCTTGACCAAGAATCGAACCCGAGACCCTTCAGTCCGAGGGCCAAGGCTCTAATCATTGAGCCAAACCAGCCAGGGTTTTTTTTATCTTTTTAAATCTGAAGAGTAGATGTAATAATGCACTTCACTTAGATTACCCTGAGCAACTCCTAAACTGGACCAAAAAGTTTCATTTCTTGGAAATTGGTGGTAGCAAGATAAGATTTCTAAAATCCAGAGTTCATCTCCACAGATGAGTCTCTCAGTTGCATGTTTTCCTTTTGTTTACCTTAAAATTTCTGCTGCTCTAAGCTGAGTGTATGACAAAGCTGGCTAGGAATGAGCACAACACTGAGCCATGTCCAGCAGTTATAATAGAAGTGATATTAATTATATAGAGGCCTGGTGCACAAAATTCATGCAGGGGTGGGGGTGTCCCTCAGCTCAGCCTGTTCGCTCCCAACTGTCCTCCCCTGCAGGCCTGGTTGCCCCCAACTACCCTCCCCTGCAGGCCTGGTCACCTCCAACTGCCCTCCCTTGACTGCCTGGTCCCCCACAACTGCTCTCCTCTTCAGGCCTGGGTCCCCCCCAACTGTCCTCCCCTGCTGGCCTGGTCACCTGCAACTGCCCTCCTCTTCTGGCCTGATCGCCCACAACTTCCCTCCCCTGCTGGCCATCTTTGACTAAGGAGATACCAGGTCATGTTGATTATTCTCATGAGGGCGGCCATCTTGTGTGTTGGAGTGATGGTCAATTTGCATATTACTCTTCTAATTGATAGGATAACACCAATCCATATTCATAGTTGAAAAAATAGAAAGTACAAATAAGCAAAACAAAAATATTAAAAAGCTCACTACACTTAACATTTTGCTATTTACTCTTCCAAACTTTTTTCTGTGATAATGATATATGTTCTTTTTGTACAAAAATGGGATCATATTGTGCATAGTGTGTGATAATCTGTTTTCCTCACTCTGATTCACATATAGGCATCTTTTCCTGCTAGTAAATATAAAGTATCTTTTTAGTGGCTACAGAGAATTCCATTATCACTAGACCCCCAAATATGTTTTTTTTAACCCATAAGTTTATTGTTAAACATTTTGGCTTTTTCCAATTTTTAGTTTTTATTTATTATAAAATTGCTGCACACTTCTAATTATTAAGCTTTGCATAAATATCTAGAAGAAGAATTGCTGGTTTAAAATATTTGCAATTTTAAAGCTTGACTAGCCTGCTGTATGATTTACCTTCTCTCAACACTTTCCTTTAGGGAAATATACTTTCCCCCACATCCTCTCCAATACTGGATTTTATTATTTTTACTGTTTTGGTAAATCTAATAGGTGAAAATAGTACGGTATTTACCTTTAGTTTTTCTTTCATTATTATTTATTTCTAGAAAGAATAAACATTTTTTTCAAAGCGCTGTTGGTCATTTAATTTCTTTTTCTGAATTGCTTATTGATACTTTGCTCATATTTAAAATGGATCAATTCTCTTTTTTATTAGTTTGTGTATTAATAATAATATTTTTGTTCATCATGAACAAGCACTTTTCTCCACTTTGTCATTTTCCTTCTAATTTTATATACAGTGGTTTTTGAAGTACAGAAAATTTGAGTTTTTAATGTAGTTAAGGCTATCATTTCCTGATATGGTTTCTGATTTTGTGTCATGCTTTGAAACTAGTCTCTACCTTAAAATTATAATAATATTTACCTATAATTTTTCTATATTTTTTCTTTATCTTTAATATTGAAATTTATCTGGGGTCTATTTAAAGTGTGAGGTAGGGCCCTAGCTGGTTTGGCTCAGTGGATAGAGCGTCGGCCTGTAGACTGAAGGTTCCAGGTTTGATTCCAGTCAAGGGCACATTGCTGGGTTGCGGGCTGGATCCCCAGTGTGAGGCGTGCAGGAGGCAGCCAATCAATGATTCTCTGTCATCATTGATGTTTCTATCTCTCTCTCCCTCTCCCTTCCTCTCTGAAATCAATAAAAATATATTAAAAATAAATAAAGTGTGAGGTAGGGTTTTAAGTTTCCCTGCCAAATGTTAGTTGTCCAAAAACTATTTATTAAATTATCCACTTGCTGTAAAATACTACATTTATAATATATTAGAGATTTACATATACTTGAGGCTATTTTATTGTTATTAAATTCGATTCCATTAATAATTCTTATTTGGTTCTGTGTGTACATAGCTGTAATTATTGGAGCATGTTCCCTGCAAATCCTGGCCCCTCCCCACTATCTCACAATTACTTTTTCCTTCTTTTAGAATTGTCCTGGCTATTTATACACAGTGATTCTTCCAGATCAAATGTTCATTGGGATCTTTAAGAGACAGGGTTGATTTTAAAATGATAAAATTTTAAAATGATTTAAAATGAAAATCCTTTCACTCAGAAACACAGTATGTCTCTCCATTTATTTAACAATTTTTAATTAAAATTTGAACAATTTCTTTTTATGTTATCCCATGCATTTTTTGGTTATGTTTATGCCTGGGTACTTCACATCTTGTGTTGCTTTTATGGTAGTATGAATGCTGGATGTGCTAACAGTGGCTTTTTGGCCTAGTAGATAGAGCACCGGATCCGATGGCCGGATCTTGAACCAGGGCTCAGCCACTTCCTTGTTGTGTGACCTTGGGCAAGTTAGCCTTTCTTAGCCTCAGTTTTGTGTTCTCATCTCATCTGCAAAACATACCTAATAATACCATGTACCTTATAAGGTTGTTGTACAGAATAAATGAGACTCTCAGAGGGAAGGGGTGGGGGGGCATAGAGGGAAGAGATTAACCAAAGAATTTATATGTATATATTATATGCATAATCTATGAACACAGGCAATAGTGTGGTGAAGGCCTGGTTGAAGGGAGAGGGGTGTGGGGTGGAGAGGGTCAAAGGGAGAAAAACAGGGACATCTGTAATACTTTCAACAATAAAGATAAATTTTAAGAAAAAGAATATATGAGAAAATGTAGGTAAAGTACTATACCCCAGGCCTAACATACAGGCACTTGAATGCACGTTATTATTATTCGTTTTTAAGCGATAGCAAGAACATATGAGAAAATGTAGGTAAAGTACTATACCCCAGGCCTAACATACAGGCACTTGAATGCACGTTATTATTATTCGTTTTTAAGCGATAGCACTTGGTATTCCCAGGCAGTCTCCTATCCAAGTTTTAACCAGGCCCGACCCTGCTTAGCTTCAGAGATCAAACAAGATGGGGTGTGTTTGGGGTGGTATGGCCATAGACTGCATGCTATTCTTATTTTGAAGATTCTACACTAGCAAATATTTGTCTGTGAAACAGGAGCTGGAACATTGCTCCAAATATCCAAAGGCTTTAAGAAACCATCTTCTGGAACAATCTTTCGATTTCTGATCAGAATGTGCTTACATGTGGTTTCTTTAGAACACTCTACAAGCATTTTGAAGGCTTAGTGTGTGACACTGCCCACCAACCAGAACTCACTTACTTAAAGCACCAAAGAGCTCAGGAGCTCATGCATGGCGCTTCCTACTACAGCTCTGCGAACCCTGAGCAATGTGACAGACCCCATGACACGGGACAGTCCCAATGTGGGTACAAGTTGCTTCAGCTGTGGGGCATCGTGTCATTCCCAGTGTCGCAACTCTCACATGCAAACTTTCAGCAGTGGTTCCACAGCCTGTTAGTAAGTCAAGAACCTGGGATCTGGCCTGCCATCTGAGCCTGGAGGCATTCTCCCTCTCACGCATTCCTTCATTTAGTTAGATGTGCTTCCTGCTGTCTTTGTGGCTATTTATCATCTCTGTGAAATAATCAAATAAGCCCAGACCTCTTAAACTCTGGCAGATTCTAGAGTTCCCTGTTAAAAATATCTTGGCAAGCTGCCCCAGAATTGCAACAAATAAAATAAGTGATCTTGCTTCAGACCTCTATTGCTTGCCTTGATGTTAATTGGTTAGGTCTTAGTAACTTATTTATGACGGTAACATTAGTGAGTAATTTTTCTTGGAGTGTATATAGATATTTTAAGAATATGGGACAGCTTTCCCCAAAGCCTGTGTAGTAACAAGCCTACAAACTAGAAAAACAAATTGAATGGTTAAAAAGCATCATCTAATTATTTTTAAGAAAGCACTTAATTGGAACGCTACCAGTTAAATGAGGACAGATGCAGCTCTGACACCTTGTTTCATAACTGCCCCTTTGTTGCCATCAGGATCAGATAAGCCATCTTTGTTCTGATCAGTTTATCGTGTAACAATCCCTCTTTATGACCACAGTTAATGTTCCCCTCTCTCCGAAGATGACAATAAACCTACGCTAAACCTTTCTTGCGATATGATGCTCTCTAACTTGGTTTTTGGAAAGTGCGGAATTCAGTTTAGCACAAAGTCACGTAACAATTAGATCATGCTCCCTTTCTCTGCATCAATATAATGTCCCATCTCCTTCCCGAAAGAGGCCTGGTCCGGGTGAAATTACAGAGGTCACGCATCTGGCTAACATCAGAGTCAGGCCTAGAGTTAGTCCAGAGCACATAGATCATGCTCATAGTGTAGACTTAATCTGGGCCACTATTCAAGCAATGCTGTGGTTTGTTAAATTTAGTACATCTTCCCACCCCCCTCCCCACACACCTGCATTTTAACAGTGTTACTTGAGGTTATCATCTCGTAGGATTGTAAACTGTCCCATTGTATCCCTCATAATACTTAGCTTAGATTTAAGGGAAGCCAGTTGGCACTTAATACACTTACTATTCAATCCTTCTTGACTTATGACTTTTGATGGACTAGAGAGGAAAAGACGAAAGAGATCATAAACAAAGAAAATAATTGGAAGTGGCCACAGAGATTTACTTGAGTGGAGAGGCCGAAATAGTTCATGCAAAAAGCCTGTTGTCTTGCAATTAATGGTTCAGGTCTTGTCAACGACTGCACTACATGATGAACATATCATCTGCCAAATTCTTTCATGTATTAGTTTCATGGGGGCTGGCTTTCTTGCTGCTAAGGGTTATTGTTGTTTTTTGTCTCTAATTTGTCTTTTAATTTATGGAATATCTCTTATTTTAACTAATAAAAGAAAAGGAAAAATGCAGTTTTAAAAGAAACTCTTCTCTAGATTAACCTTTATCATAAACTGATTGTGTAAACTTGGACAAGTCAATTAACCTTTCTGAGTTGCAGGTTTATGCAGATGAATTATTTCATTTTTAACTGGTTGTCTTGGCATGATGTAGACAGTGCCAGACACATATTAGGTGCTCAATAAATGTATTTTGAAAAATTACATCAACAATTGTACTTTCTAAAAAAAAAAAAGACAAAGAGAAGGGAAGAAACAGGAAGAAATAAAAAATATATTATATTAAACTAACCTGGATTTTTCTGAAAAATATTGAAGTGATTCATTTTTCTAATGCCATTGCATTCAGACATGAATCAATAAACAATAGTTATCTTGCCCTGGGCTATGCTACTCAGTGGTTAGAGCATTGGCCGAAGGGTTTCAGGTTCAATTCCTGATCAAGGGCACATACCTGGGTTGCAGGTTCTAGTCCAGGCCCCTCTTGGGACATGTGTGGGAGACAACAAATCCATGTGTCTCTCTCACATCCATGTCTCTCTCTCTCTCTCTCTCCCTATCTCTCCCCACCTTTCACTCTCCCTAAAAATCAATGGAAAATATATCCTTGGGTGAGGATTAACAAAAAAACAACAACAACAAAAAACACCTAAGCATTGGACATATAGAAAATGCTATCTATACAAATGTCTTGTTGTTATTACTGTACTTACAAAATTATAAATCCACTTGGAGGGTACCTAATCTAATTTTCCCCCTAATCTTTTCCAACTAGAGGCCCAATGCACAAATTCATGCACAGGTGGTGTCCAGCTGGCCCAGATCCAATCAGCGGGTCAGGACCAGGAGGAGACAGCGGGAGGTTGGCCAGCGGGCCCACCCCGATCGATCAGGGCCAGGCCAGCTGCGGGGAGGGGCTGCGGGAGTTTGGCCAGCTGGCTCCACCCCCTGATCAGGCCGGTTCACTGGCTGCAGTGGGCATCATAGCGACCAGTCATTCTGGTCGTGACAGTGTTCTGGTCAATGGCTTTTTATATATATAGATGATGTTACTGTGGGCAACAGGCATACAGGGAAAGAAGATGGGCACTTGGCTAATATTTGCAATTTCTTTTCTATGGTTGTTCTAAGCTTGCAGAGATAAAAACACCAAGCTTTCAGGAAATTGTCTAAATATAAAGGCCTTGGGAAGAAGGAAGAGGCTGGCTAGCCTGTAAGCACCAAAATAAAAAGGACTCTACCTTTCTTGCTTTTATCACTATCTAGTGGCACTCAGGAAGGTGTTGTGAGGGTAGAGTAGACAATGAGGGAGGGCATTCTTTAGAAAATTTAAACAACAATGAAACCAACTCATTGGGTCTGTTCTTTGTTATCACCATGAGCTGGCAATGCTTAACAATGTCAGTGATGAAATCTCTCCAACTCTAAGGCAGACCTCTCCCACCAACCAGCCCCACCCCTTGGACACTATTCCACTGACACTGTTACCAATACCTCAGACAATGCCTGGCACATAACAAGTATGACTTGCAGTAGAAGGTGATAATGGGAGAAATGAGAATCTAGAACTCCGCCTCCCCTACAATTCCTTTGTCTTTTCCTATTGAAATTTTTAGAAACATGAAAACCATAATATAAATTCCCCATATACTTTGTACATCTCTGGCCCTTATTTAAATCCTATGCAAACTTTTAAATTCCACAGCCCAGGGGGAAATGTCCCTGCAACGAGGACAGGGCTGGCCAATGGGATATGTGGGAAAAGTTCAGAAAGACCTGCGAGTATGAACCCTAACAAGAGAAGGTTGAAGGGTCAAAGTTTCTGCACACAAAGTGAAGCATTAAGTTTAGGAGGGTGACCAGATGGACTCCCTTTCCCCAAAAGCACAAACGACAATATATAACAGCTTCTATGTCAGGCTGACTTTCCAGCATCAAGAAGGGCTGAACTCTGCAAACAGACTCTAGAAGTCATCATTAGCAGGAGGATGGGCAAGGCTTGACCTCAGTGACTATGATATACTTTCTGAAGCATTAGAGTCACCTGTAACTGCTTAAATGGTAGAGGAAAGGTGACTCACGTTGGTAAAAGCCAACGGGGAATTTGGGGGATAATGACTTGAGCCCTATACTGGACATACCTAGTGGCCCACTTTTAGGTAAGATAAAAATGCAGGGGAAATACTCCTTTGTAATGTCCTTTGTGATACTCCCCCTAGCATTTTTTTTTTATTGCTTAAAGTATTACAAAGAGTATTACATAGGGCATTTTTTCTCTTATCTGTTTATTAATATCTGGTGTCTCATTTAGATAAGACAGAATCTTTTCTGAAGCAGCAATACATTTTAACATGCAAATACCTGGTGAGGTAACAACAGGTAACATCTGCCATAAGATATATAGACCTCTGTATCAGAGCAGAGGTCGCCTCAGAAAGATTGTGGTGGTTTGTTGTGGGGACAGATATAGAATAGTGACTTCTTCGGTAAGGTTTAGGGGAAGGTGCAGATTAAGGTTCCAAAAGACAAACATCTGATTGATCCAACAATCAGTCTTTTCCTGCAATGCTCTGACCTAGGGCCCCAGTGATAAGTGACTGCGCTGAGGAGGCATTCAGGGTGATTGGCACAGGACCTCTGGTCAGCATGGAGGGAGCGAAGGTGGGTGCTATTTATCCTGCTCTGAACGTTTATTCTGTTTATTCCGACAGAAGTGTAATGTCTCAGTCATGGGCTCAGTCAAGTTCTCTGCTCGTTGGTCTTCTCGAGTCACCTCTGCCAACAGTGCGGTGCCTTCCAAACCACAGCAGTGCTCTGTGCAGCAGGTCCCTGCCTGAAACGGTCAATCCTGTTTCCTGTGAGCGCTTCCCACGTCCTGACCAGACAATTCTCTTATCAAAACACCTCAAACATGGTCATTTCTATCCTCACAAAAGATAATATAATTTAAATGAGATTGTGGAATGCTAAGACACCCAAGCCCCATGCACTAGAATTTTCTATCAAGCAGAGCCACCTAGTGGTAGAATGAAATGTTTTTTTAAAATTCTCCTTTAATTTCTCTCATATAATAATCCCATCCAGATGGGGTTCTCTCCCTCCTTCCCTCCCTCCCTTCCTCCCTCCCTTCCTCCCTCCCTCCTCCCTCTTTTCCTCCCTTCCTCCCTCCTTCCCTCGCTCCTCCCTCCCTCTCTCTCCCTCCCTTCTTTCCTGTTCATTTTACTCACTCCTGTTTTCAGCTACCCCCTTTGAGACTATCATCTCTATTTTCCTTACTGAACATCTACTCATCCAAGATAAACAAACCTACAGTTTGTTATAATCAGAGAGTTTTACAACTAAAACAGAAGCGGACTTAAAAGTCAGTGTCTCTTTAGAAGGGCAAGAAAATGTCAACACTAAATTATTTCTAAAGATAAAGAGTAACTATTTACTTTGTGCCTTTCTATTTTCCCAAACTCACACTTCCTTTTCTTCACACTGCACACATATGCAGCCATGGAAAATGTCACATAAAATGTACAGGCACAGAGAAGGTGAGCAAACGTGCTCTGCTATGGTCTCCAATCCCCTCCCGGTATGCACATGGAATCTATGGCAGAAATTAGAAGTACCTTGGGGTGTGGTTTGATTCCTTTTCTTCTTTTAAAGTAGGTAAACATTCACTGTCGGCTAGGACAGAATGAAAGCAAACGCATTGTTAGTCACTGAAATTCTATTTTCTATCCACAAAACTCACACAGTTAAACTTCACAATTCCCCAGTCTGTATGTGCAGAAATGGCCTCACCAGGGAGTTGCAGAGGTTCAGAGATTAATGGTGGCAAGGCTCTTGAAATGGACAAAGCACTAAAGCACAGATATAAGACTTCTGTGTGCCTCTGGCCCTGTTGGAAAGGGCACAGATAATGGTGGCTTGGTCATTCAGTCTCTGCAGAACCCCACTGTGGCTCCAAAAGCCTGAATCTGCATGATTCAGGATACACGCTGGAATAAAACGGCTTCACCTGAGGTCCTGATGTGCCGGGAGAATGACTCCAATCAGGATGCACCATCAGAAAGAAGCAGGTAAAGTGGGGGGGCAGCTAACCTTAAAGTCATCAGAATTCTGTTACACCACTGCCATTTTTAAGGGAAATAAAGAACTATTGGGCCTATCACCTATGTGTCAAAATAACTGCTTTAGTGTCGAATAGAAATGCCTTTCCCCTATTTTATGCTTTTAGTCAGTGTACCAGGATCATGGTTTTGTATTTAACAGATCTCAGGAACAAAAGGGAATACACCAACATTTTAAGAGAGGTCGTTTTTGAGTGGTGGGATTCTTTTTCATCCTACTTTTTTTTTGAATTGTCTAAATTCTACTGTGTATGTATTTTACTTTTATAAACTAAAAACAACAAAATGAATCTACTTTAAGGATTGTTTCCTTTCCTCACAAGCTTTCCAGAGCCATTCAATCCTCAATATTGGATTACGAAAAACTGTTCAAAATTGTGCAAGTTAGTTAAGTGGTTCTAATCTTTTGGAAAACTGGTCTTGATAAGCCTCTGGTACAATAATTCTAATAACAAATCTTTAAGTTATATAAACTCCATTGTAGATTGTTGAATCTGACAGACCCTGGGGTATTTTTTATGGTAAGTGTTAAAAATACAAATGATATGACAGTATAAATAGTGGATTTTATTAATTTAGGCTGAGCATTAAAAATAATTTATTGATTTTTTAAAGAAATTAGAAAAACAGCTGTCATTATTTTTAAGTCCAAATATTTAGTGAAAACTAAGGAACATATACTGCAATTACTGCCAGATATCAATTGGAAATTAGGTTATATGGGGACATTCATATTACTATTTATGTTAGCAGCTTTCTTTACAGTGATGGGAATGTTCTAGACTTTCACTATAGTAGCCACTAGCCACAAGTGGCTACTGAGTACTCAGAATGTGGCTAGAGTGACTGAGGAACAGTATTTAAAATTTTACTTTCAAAATTTTAATCTCAATAAGCCACATATGGCTAGTGTCTATTGTATTGGACAGCACCGATCTGTCAACTATATTTGACAAAGTTTATAACCAGATACAGATCAAAATCATAAATCTCTAAATATAAGGTGAGGCCAAAAGCTAACTTTTTCCAGATAATTTAGACTCCAATTTCCTTGCTTGAAAAAAAGACCATTTTCTTCTTGAAAAAGATCATTTGAAAAACTTGTACAAAAATAAAAACAAACGGCAATGATGCGGTTATTGAACTGAATACTTAAGGGCGGTCAGACCCAAGTGTGTTATCTGTGTGTACCAGAGTGTATGTGGACTGGGCTCACGCGGTTCCACTCCAGGATTTATGGGGGATTGACAAAGCTGTTGCAGCCTTCTGTGAGTAGAGAGGACAGAAAAACAAGGTTCCCACATACCATTTCTATGCATGCTCATCCATTTATCAAGCTCTTCCATCTCTATTTCCATAACAGAGGGTGTATCTTCCTCAAAAATAGGGCTAGAAAGAGAGCAAAAATCTTGTTGAAAGAAAGAAAGGTATGGTGGGCTGAATTTCTGTGGGGGAGTCTAGCATGTTGACTGTGAGGAAGATGAACTTGATTCAGTGCCTTACACTCCAGGGTAGGCTGAGCGTGTGCCCTGTTCAAATGTACCAAACTCTAATAGGGAGAAAATAAGAACAATCTTGACCTACCACTGATTCAAAAATGGAGGGCGCATAACCCAGCACAACCCAGCGAGGGGGGAGAGGGGGGGTTAGGGGAGGGGGTAAAAGGGAACCGGAGACTGCTTCCCGGAAGGCACACAGGGGAGCACACAACTCCTCCAGGGAGTTGCCACATTTAGCAACTTCACCTTGCTCAATTTCACTTCCCTTTCTTTGGTGTTTTTGATCACTGCCCCCAAGTCAAGAGGCTACAGTCAACGAATTGCTTGCATCACCTCTCCCTTCAATTCCCATGCTTTTCTGTCTTGGAGAAAGTGAGCAGTTCCTTTCAGAAATCCACTGCCCTCACTTGCCAGGGTTTAGAGGGTTAGGGCACCCAGTTTGGAGAAAGAAGCCCCTGGTTAATGGAGGTGGGGAGGAGGAGGGGGATCACCAACTCTGAACAGCTGCCAAGGTGTTACACCTTGAATAGGAAGCAAGCCAAGTGTCTGAGTAGGGCTGCTGTGGTTGGGGTGGAGGCTGGAGGAGGATGTGGGCATCGCTCTAGAACATTCTCCTGTGGTAAATCTTCTACTTCCCCGCTCCCTCCGATCTTTCTTCCTCTCCCCTCCATTCCCCTTCTACCAGGGATCTCCTTCCATAATACCAGCTGAAGTATCTTTCCTGGTGATAAAAATTTTAATCCAAATAAATGAAGCAAATTCTTTGAAAACCACCCAGCGTCAGAATATTTACAATGCATTTGGAATTGTCAGCGGGAATCAGAAAAAAGATTGTTTTCTGAACAGAGGACCCTGTCCTCAGCCCAGATGCCCTTCTAGGTTGAGGTTTGAAGACAGGGACATCCTTCCAAAGGCTGTAGACCACGACAGGCTGTTTTCTGGGGCTCAGGAAGCAAAGGTCCCCACAAGGAACAAAAACTCTTGTAAGGACCAATGGTCCTCTAATCTGCTCCCTTCCCGACCGTCCTTGTTCACTCTGAGCTGGACCGGAGGGAGTGGGGAAGACTTACACTTTCAGGTTGTCGCCTCCCAGTTCATCTAGAAGAGAATAAACATAAAGGTCATGCTGGCTTTGTTTGTCCGGAACAGCTTTTTATTTCAACAACAGCTGAAATCTGCTTCACAAAGAGAACAAAATGGCCTTAAGTAAATTGCGTTTTTAAAGGAGCAATAATTAACCTCTAAATCAGTGGTTCTCAACCTTCCTAATGCTGCGACCCTTTAATACAGCTCCTCATGTTGTGGTGACCCCCAACCATAAAATTATTTTCGTTGCTGAAACCGGTTTGGCTCAGTGGATAGAGCGTCGGCCTGTGGACTGAAAGGTCCCAGGTTCGATTCCGGTCAAGGGCATGTACCTGGGTTGCGGGCGCATCCCCAGTAGGGGGTGTGCAGGAGGCAGCTGATCGATGTTTCTAACTCTCTATCTCTCTCCCTTCCTCTCTGTAAAAAATCAATAAAATATATTTTTTAAAAAAAATTATTTTCGTTGCTACTTCATAACTGTAATTTTGCTACTGTTATGAATCGTAATGTAAATATCTGATATGCAGGATGTATTTTCATTGTTACAAATTGAACATAATTAAAGCATAGTGATTAATCACAAAAACAATATGTAATTATATATGTGTTTTCCAATGGTCTTAGGCGACCCCTGTGAAAGGGTCGTTCAACCCCCAAAGGGGTCGCGACCCACAGGTTGAGAACCACTGTTCTAAACTAATAGCCATTCATTGACGTGATGGGGCATTTAAATAGGCGACCCCTGTGAAAGGATCATTCGACCCCCAAAGGGGTCGCGACCCACAGGTTGAGAACTGCTGCTCTAAATCAAACGTGTGTCAATTGCCATATTGAAATGAAGTCCCAATCCATTGGAAATCTGTTTTCTTTTAGATGGGAGGTGCTCCGAGTGCACTCACTTCAGCTCAGATGTTCATTCCTCTTTGTTTTCTCCACACAAAGAGGACAAACAGTGGTAAGGGGGGTAGAAAAGGGTCTTACAAGAGGGCTTGCTCCTTGGCCCCCTGCCCCAAAATGTCCCCGTTCAAAGCACTGCTTTTCATATACTTGTGACACACTAAACCCAACACTGTGACTGTCCCTTTGACCCAGAGTAGGATGTGGGGACTCCATCCAGAGCTCCTCTCGGAAGAATCCTGGCACCTGCTCTTTGCATAACTGGAACCCTCACTTCTATCCTCAACTTACACACTTTCCTCAGGGAGGCCTCCCCCAACTCCTCTGCCTGAAGTGGGCCCCATCTTCCCAACTGTTCCCCAGCTGAACACTTTGCTTGCTTTCTTCATAGCATTGGCCCCAATTTGTCACTGATCGATTCATCTGTTTAATTCTTTCCCATCTTTTTTTTTTCCAATAGACCATTGCTCCCAAAGGGCAGAGATTGTATTTGTCATAGCGCCCCTCACCTCCCATCCATCCAGTGCACTACCTGGGAAACACACAGTACTCATTTACTGAATAGATGAACAGATCTTAATCTGGATTTTGTCCAGCGCTGGGGTTAAATTCATGGCTGGTGTTTTGGACTTAACATTATCCAATAGTGAAACTTCCAACAAGTCTGCTGTTCCCTACTATTGGTTGCGGTAAGGGTCAGACCACAGTTTGCAAAACAGCTCAACTGCACGCCTGTTTCCAACAAGCCTGGTTTTCCGTGCTTTTCCTGCTATGGGTTGAGGTAAGAGTCAGACAACAGTTTGCAAAATGGCTCTGATGCATGCAGATCAGACTCCAAATGAACATGTGGCAGGAATCAGAGCCCAGTGCCCCAGCGCAGGTTGTGTTTTGTTTGGCAAGAGGATCAACGCACCCAGAGAAATGAGGCTATGATGTCAAGCAAGTGGATAGCACAGGCCTGCTGCACCTTTTATGATGTGAAAACCATGAAGGAACAAACCACTTTGTAGAGGTCCACCAAATAGTTGGATGTTCCTAATCCTTCGCAGTCAGAGGCCTCATTTTGTCTGGTCTGCAGAAATGCAGGTCCCCAGTGAGGGGACATAACCAGCAGGCACTTGGAACTGAGCTCCTGGCCGCAGCTGGGAACTGCTGTAATTTTCTGTGGGTTGGCAAGCTTGAATGGCATTGCTAATCCAGGAAAGCTGGGCACAGATGTAAGTTTCATGCCATCACTGCTTACCTTCCAGGGGCTGTAGGTTATGTCCTCCTGATTCCCACCCGCTGCCCCCCAAATAGGAATCTGAAGATTCCTGCAGAGGCCTGACTCCTTAAAACTTTGGAGGAAGGGGAGATGTACATCTTATATTTATGTGTATATGCATATATATGTACGTATATGTATGTGTGTGTGTGTATGTGTGTGTATACTAGTATATATTTTTTTCATCTAACATTTACATACTGTTTCCTTAAGGGCTTTTACTCTAAATAAAGCCACTACAGGTGACCCATAAAAATCTCCTGTTTTGTCATTCCCTCTCCCTCTTCCCTGTTTAATGCCCCCCTACCCCCCCCCCCCTGGTAATTTCTCAGGGAGCAAGTGTCCCTGGAGCCCCACTGTCTAGGCATGGATTTATCTCTATAATCTGAGCGCCCGCAGGCTTTGTGGTGAGTAAAAGCTAGCCCTCGCTGCAGATGATGGAAAAGTTTAAAACCCCATTACCAAAGTGCTCCAGAGGCACCAAATGGGAAGCTCCTATAATCAGTATTCAAACACCCTGGTAATTTCTCAGGGAGCAAGTGTCCCTGGAGCCCCACTGTCTAGGCATGGATTTATCTCTATAATCTGAGCGCCCGCAGGCTTTGTGGTGAGTAAAAGCTAGCCCTCGCTGCAGATGATGGAAAAGTTTAAAACCCCATTACCAAAGTGCTCCAGAGGCACCAAATGGGAAGCTCCTATAATCAGTATTCAAACAGAGCAAAAAGCTTTCTGCAGCCTCATCTCCCCTGCTCCAGGACCATTACCCCTGCCCCAGCCGCCATGGCAACAGAGAAACATCTGGGAGAGAACACCAGAGCAGAGCATTAAACCAGGAGGAAGACCAATTACTTGTCCTCAGCAATCAGGCCCTGCCCGCTCCACTCCACCTGGCCTAAATCTCTTTATTAATAGCCACCTACTCCCTTGCATCCAGGAGGCAAAGGTTGCTCTTAGACAGCCCCTCACCCTCACTTGCTCCTATTTTCCCTCCCATCGCCCTTCCGTTTCACATCCTTCCACCCACTTTGTCCTCCTCTTTCAGTTCCTACATTGCACCCGCTTGGCCTGACAATGCCCCCTCTCCCGCAGCTACCCTGTGCACGGGAAGGTGGGATGGCTGGGGTGCAAGGATGGGGGCAGGAGCCCAGCAGGGGACTGGCTTGCTTATCTTGTTTCCATGCTGAACAGTGAGCAAGGGAGACAGACTCTTTCTGGATATTTACTGAGCAGAGCTAGGTGTCATGTGGCCACAGCCTGTTCAAAGTGATGGTTTACTGCCAGCTGTTTCCCCTGCAGCTCTTTCAAAGAGACACAGCACACCAAGACATTTAATAATAACAAATGCAATGCCTGGAGGTGTAGGAAGAATGACAATAGAACATCGAGTTACTACACAGCATTTCCCTTTCCCTGGACACGAACCTGACGGGCCCAAAGAAAAAAGGCAGTTCCCAAATGGATGAAGTGTTCTTCCTAAAAATGTTGGCCAAGTCATCGCCAGTTGTCAAATTTAAAGACTTATTTTCTGGTGTAGAAGAATATGTGAAGAAAGAAACCGTGTGTTTATTGCTAACTCTGAGGGGACATCATCCATGCCCTCCCACATAACAGTCCTTTGGGAATTTTTAAGTCCCCTGGAACTTTTATTTTTCCTGGAAAACAAATGTATTTAAATCAGATTTTGTGAATTTAAATATTCTCCTTTTATTGGCTTGCTTATGATGTTAAATATGAATGGGTGGAATTTAGTGGACAGTCATCATTAGCATTCAGTTTGTCTGAAGAGATATGTAAGTGTTAAGCAGTTAACCACCTGTATCTATATTAAAGAAGTGGATAGTAAAAGAAAATATTCAAGTCAAACTCTATATATTTATTTACTTATTTTGTAATAAGCAACTGCTTCAAAATGCTAAGCTCTCTATGTTGTTTTTTCTTAAAGTAGAGCATACTTAAACTAAACAGAATGTGCCAATTTATAGTAAGGATATGTGAAAATTTTGTTTTTTAATCTCTGAGAATAGGTGTTCTTTAAAATAAGTTATAACATTGTTTCATTTACCCAACAAACATTTATTGAGCAGCTAATTTACATAACATTGGGCCAAGCACTATGTTATGTAAAAGGGATAATAATAATAATAAGCTAATACAATATGCCAGGTATTGTTTTTTCTAAGCCCTTTTCATAGATGAATCCATCTACTTCTCACAACAACTCTGTGAGGTAGGTTTTGAATTCGTCCATTTTACAGATGAGGAAACTGACACAGAAGTCACAGAACTAGGAAATGCAAAAGCCAACTAGTCAGTGTGGTTCCAGAGTCTGTCCTCTCCACCTCCAGGCCACACTGTTAAACAGATAAATAAGACAAATTCTTGCCTCTCTTGGACCTTAAAGAGAATATAACCTAGTTAGAAAGACCAAAAAAAGGCAAGTCCCCAAGTTATGTCAATGCAAACACTGTGCACATTGTGACCACAGCCTATGAGAGCACAGAAGAGGTGGTGGTTGATTTTGCCTGAGGAGTGATTACTCAAGGCTTCATGAAAACTTTAGAAGTGAACATTGAAGAATGGAGCTGCAGTTTGCCAAGCAGAGAAGAAGGCAATCCAGACAGAAGAAATGGCATCAACCAGGCATGAAGGCATCCTGCAAGTACAAGCCATGCTCTGGGAACAGCAAACACTTCAAGTATGGCTGCAGTGTAGGATGCATGGGCCATGTCTGAGGATGAGGTTGGTTCTCACTTATGATGGCTTCTGAACTTTGAGATTCCCACAATAAAGTTCAATGAAAAACCCCTTTCTGGATTTAGAGCCCAAGAGTATGGCCATTTGACTGGATACCCCCTAATTCCTCCCAACCCCATGACCCCATTAGGTAAAACCAGCTATGGGGCTATATGGTTTAGGCAGGAAATTCTCACCTTTCCTACTAAAAAAAAACAAAATTAGGCCCATGCAGCTCTGTTTGCTTTTTCTTTAGCTTACAAAGGAGGGCCCATGTGATCACAGTTAGTAGGTCACCCTGAAATTTCAAACTATGGAGGAACATGTGTATTTCCTACTTCCTTGAAATCTATTATATCAGCCCCTATCGTGAAAGGTAACGAACTTCAGTGCTTCTTCCCCAGCTCACATTTGCTATACCTGAGGGCATAATGGGAAAAGACCATTTATAGTTCCTGCTGAGACCTTAAAGGCTTTCTTGGTGCTAGGACAATGAGCAAGGCCAGAGATGCCGTTAATGGGTGTAAGGGACATACAGTGAGTTTTGTATGCACATATGAATATGCATCTTATTAGAGAAATTCTCATCCCTTGAGTGATCTTTGGAGTGACTAAAGTCTTCAACTTAAAAATCTAATTGGTGCCCTGGCCAGTGTTGCTTAGTGGTTAGAGTGTTGGCTCGCACACTGGAGGGTCACAGGTTTGATTACTGGTCAAGCTTTTGCTTCCTGGCCCTGGTCGGGGTGCAGGTGGGAGGCAACCAATTGATATCTCTCTCTCACATTGATGTTTCTCTCTCTCTCTCACCCTTTCTCTCCCTCCCTTCTACTCTCTCTAAAAATCAATGGAAAAAATCCTCAGGTGAGTATTAACAACAACAACAACAAAATCTAATTGGAATCATTTTTCACCAGCACAAGCCAATAGTATCCAAGTCTCCTTTGGACCTAGATACCCTAAAATCTAGAATGTTATGCTCCTGGAATAGGAACGGAATACTCTCAGAGTGAATCTCTGACCTGGGGAATTTTCTATGAGACTGGTTTTCTAGGAGATTGATGATAGCAATCTTCAGCCAAGTAGGACTTTGCTTATGAAAGTTAGCATAGCTTTCATGGGAATAAGAACAATGCTTCACCCAGGCCTTTTCAAGATCAAATTAGAATGTGGCATGGGGGAGAAAACAATATCTGTGGCAGAAATATAGGTGGAAGAATCCCCTTCTTGCAGTATGATGCCACGGTCCCTGCCTTCCCAACCCTGACCCCACTGCTTCACCATCCTTACCCTTTCCTCCAACTGTAGGCACATGTTACATTGACCTATTGGCCAAGATTATACGAGGGCATTATCTGGATTAGGTTCAGAGCTGGTAGCTGTGTATATTAACTTTCAATTTAGGCTAAAAACATTCTCTTTTTTAAAAAGAACAAAATATGGCATTTTTAAACTCTGGAAAATTTCATTGAAATATGTCATTCATGACTTATTATTATCCTATATAATAAAACCCTAATGTGCAAATTGGCCAAACGGGGGAATGACCTGCGGAATGACTGGTTGCTATGATGCGCACTGACCACCAGGGGCAGACACTCAACGCAGGAGCTGCCCCTGGTGGTCAGTGTCCTCCCACAGGGGGAGCGCCACTTAGCCAGAGCTGGGCTCAAGGCTGGCAAGCACAGCGGTGGTAGCGGGAGCCTCTCCTGCCTCCTCTGTAGGTGGGTGGTAATGAGCAAGTGGTCCCGGACTGCGAGAGCCCTGGACTGCGAGAGGAATGTCTGACAGGGGGATTGGGCCTAAGCCGGCAGTCACACATCCCCCAAGGGGTCCTGGACTGCGAGAGGGCGCAGGCCAGGCTGAGGGAACCGCCCCCCCCACTCAGTGCACAAATTTCGTGCACCAGGGCTCTAGTTTTATATAATCCTTGTTGTTTATCTTAAAACCTCTCAGTTCCTTCTCCTATCCTATCCCCAACTCTAGGCAGGTATTAGGATAATACTCACATGTCTGTAAAACACTCTGAGATCCTTGGCTAGAAGGCAGCTCTGTGTAGAAGCAAAAGTATTTTGTTTTAGTGTTTGTCCATTGACCCATGAAGCAATTGTCTGGGATTGGGAACACACAAAATATTTACCTTGTTTAGCTTTTTTTCTTTTATAGTTGATTACAATGAGTACCACTGATAAGAGTAGGAGTGCCAAGAAAACCAACGGGATCAACACCATCAGTATAAGCTCTAGCTGAGTATCCTCCTCACCAATGATGGTATAATTCTCATATTCAGTTACTATTTCTGTGGTCAGTGCAGCAACTGTGCTTATAACAGGAGTATCTTCATCTGTAGGTTCCACTTTCTGGGTGACATCTGTTGACTCACCTTCTGACTCTTCTGCTGCCTCAGAAGAAGGCAGTTCTGACTCTGTGAGAACACACACACAAAATTGAGATCGCCATGGAGACAAAGCTAGTAAGTTATGTTTTCAATGATTTTTTAAAAATTTTTTTCTGCATGCATCCAGTGGTAAACTTGATTTCCTGAATTGGGCCTTCCAGTTCAGAGTGATACAGAGTTTTGAAGTAACATAAATGGAGCTCAAGCTGGGAGTACATTGAACATGGAATCAGAGTCCAGATAAACCTCCCACAAATGCAGGCAGTTTAGCCTTGACCGATACTTTAGACACATTTCATCAAAGGCATTAAAAACCTTTGCCCTGTCATGGGTGATATTCCAAGACACCTCCTATAGCAGTGATGGCGAACCTCTTGAGCTTGGCGTGTCAGCATTTTGAAAAACCCTAACTTAACTCTGGTGCCGTGTCACATATAGAAATTTTTTGATATTTGCAACCATTTTTGAAATTGCGGCGACTGCTTCGATTTCAGCGTCAGGGCTCACATGCTGCAGAGAAACGTGTCTGCCTCTGAGATTATCTGACAGAAATCCTCCTGGATTCTAAATAAAAATACAATGTGTACTTTCTTTGTAAAGTGAAATTCTCAAGGGGAATTTAGAGACTAAAGAAATGGTACCAATATTTAAATTTATTTAGTAAAATGAACTCCCCCTATATAGAAACTCTAAGCAAGTTAATTCTGTTTGAACATCAGATTGTGTTGGAAAACCATCCTGTGGTTCATCACAGCACTGGAAAGGACTATTATTTGGAAGATCTTTCCTCGCCTGGCTATGTGGTGGTCATGGGTAGGTGGGCTAAAGGTTTTCACCCTGTCATGTTACAATGTTGCCTATCATTCAGATGGGGCCCGTTGAGGAAAATAGAATATGAGTTTAGGCTACAGAACACGTATCGAATGAGTTAATTTTTGTGAAAGCTCTTTCTAAGGTGTTATGATGAAAATAGAGTTGGCTGTTTTCTTTTTCTTTCTTTTTTCTTTTTTTTTCTCTTTTTCCCCCCTTTTTTTTCTTTTTTTCTCCTTTTTTTTTTCAACTCAGTCTTAAAATTATTTCTTCAAAGAAAGGCTGTTTTAAACTATGCCCTGTTATTACAGGCTAGACCAGTGCTCCATAGAATGACCTAGCTCCGTGATCGGCAAACTGCGGCTTGGCAAACCGCAGCTCGTGAGCCACATGCGGTTCTTTGGCCCCTTCAGTGTGGCTCTTCCACAAAATACCACGTGCGGGCGTGCACGTACAGTGCGATTGAAACTTCGTGGCCCATGCGCAGAAGTCGGTATTTTGTGGAAGAGCCGGTATTTTGTGGAAGAGCCAGTATTTTGTGGAAGAGCCACACTCAAGGGGCCAAAGAGCCGCATGTGGCTCACGAGCCGCGGTTTGCCGAGCTGCAGTTTGCCGACAGCAGAGGCAATCCAGTACCTTGTCTAGATGCATAACTGTTTGACAACAGATTCCTCTGACTTGATTTATAAAACCTTTGTTTGATCCCAGTCTAATTATTTTGGTTATCTAATCTAATAATAGACAAACAGGGTAATTGACTGTACCTTCACTACGCCTCCCATTGGCTAATCAGCAAGATATGCAAATTAACCAACAAAGATGGCGGTTAATTTGCATACGTGGCACCGGTGGAGCAGCGAAGGCGCTGAAGGCGGCTCCGGCCGGAGCGAAGGCCTGGGTGCCGGGTGCCGGAAAAACCGATGCCGGCAGCCAGGGGAAGGGAAGGCCTATTGCATGAATCTTTTTGTGCAACAGGCCTCTAGTATATATATAAACATTTCCGTTTTCCCCAAGACCAGGGAATCCACTTGATAATTACATGAGTGATCAATGCAATGACAAACTGCAGGATATAACTAACTGGTATTCCTCACCTGAATGTACCAAAAGCAGGATTTTAAAAAATCTACCATTTATTGACCTCTGCCTTCTGGATTAAGTGACTTTGTCCTATATTTATGTCTTTGAAATAAAGTAAGTCAATACTGTATTCACTCAAGCTTTGATATCTCACATATCATCCTGGGTCAGGAAAAGATATTTGTCTACCAGGGCAATGTCCTCATTAATCTCATTAGCTTGCAGGACTGCTAGAACCAAACTGCATTCTTTACTGAAAATCCAGGCCACTGAAGACCTGACTAAGGGGGTGCGGGGCTATGGGGGAGGGGTACATACACAAGTGGAGTTGGTGATAATGACCCTTTTCCTTGAGGTCAGTGCTTATGGATCTTTCTCAAACACCCAGATTTCCCTTTTATTTCTTTTGCTGTCTTCTGCTGCTACCATCCCAAGCTAACCTTTGTAAAGAATTTACTAAGAGCCCAGCCCTGTGCTCTGCCTTTTAGCTGGATGAATTCGTTTTGTTCTCACCACTTTTTCAGATAGAAACTGGGGCAAAGAGGTTACAGGACTTGCCTACGATCACAGAGCTATCATGGAGGAGTGAGGGTGTGAACCTAGGAGGGCTGATCGCAGAACCTGGCTGGAATGTAATGATTACAAGTCACGAAGTGGTGAACAAGAGAGGGGACCTCCTTTTCTTGCCCATCAGTTTCTAAGGAGGTGGCTGTCTGGCTTATAGGGCAAGGGAGAGGAAGGGTTCCCAGAAGCCTCGGCTTTGCCAGAGCTCTCGCTAGCCTTCTCAGCCCAGACCGCTGTGAACAAAGCTGCCTGATTGCAGGATCTTCCCAGTGCCTCTCCAAGGAAGGCCAGCAAGTTCCCAGTGGAGCACCCAGCACACTCAGTCACCACTTGACCCGTGGCCGCAAGGAAAAGAAAATAGGAAAATAAATAGGCTAGCAGGGAAAAGGAGGGCTTTCTGACGATAGGAAATGAAGGAGAAGTGGAAAGAAGGGCAGCAGCTGGTCCTGGGTTGTGTACATTTATTTTTCAGCATGAGAGACAATGCTGGTCACTGGTGGCCATTAGTGGCCTTTTTGAGTGAAAGGGGCCAGAACTTCTCTCTACAATATCCCTCTCACATGTATGTTTTCCATGTTAAACATCATTTACTCAATAAGATTCTCTAGTGGCTGAATAAATGAGAATCAAGTCTCTCTCTCTTCTTTACTCTGCAAGCCTTCATCTCCAGACTCTCCTATGACGACCTTCCTCACAGCTCTCCCTGCCCAAACCCTCCACAATAGCCTCAAAGTAATAAACAACAGCCACTGACATTTATCGAGTGCTTAGTATGTGCTAGGCACTAGGATAAACATGCACTACCTAACTTAATCTTCACAACTTTCTTGTTCACATTTTAAAAAATATATTTTTATTAATTTCAGAGAGGAAGGGAGAGTAGGGGAGAGAGAGAGAGAGAAACATCAGTGATGAGAGAGAATCATTGATTGGCTGCCTTCTGCACATCTGCTACTGGGGATTGAGTCTGCAACCCGGGTATGTGCCCTTGATCGGAATTGAACCCAAGATCCTTCAGTCCGCAGGGCCGGTGCTCTATCCACTGAGCCAAACCAGCTAGGGCTCTTGTTCACATTTTACAGTTGTGAAGAAACTGAGTCTTGAATGTCTCGGGCTGGAGTATAACACCGTCATTTATGCTGTAAGTCCCACTGATACGTAGGGTCACGTAGGGTTTTGACTCTGCAATCCCTCGAGCATAGGTGCCCAGTGACAGTGAGGGGCTTAGTCATTGCTCTTCACTTAGTAATTGTGGGAATTTGGACAAATTATTTAATCCTTAATGATAATGTCCTAATCTGTGCAACAGGAGTGATCCCCAAGGTCCCATCTATCTCCACATCTTTATGTTGATTCTAAAGCCTTGATCTTGTTTTTCGTTAGAATTTTTGAATAGGTGCTGTACACATGGTACTAAGCTCAGCAAGGAAATTTCACTACCACCCTTTCCCCAGTTTATTACCTTCCCCAGAGATAACCACTGTTTCTGCTGCCTTCCCAAGAAACTCTGTGCCTATACAAGTATCGTTTCTTGTTTTATTAACACAAATGGTAGCAAAAGAAGTTAAATCTTGTTCTGCCTCTTGTTTATTTCACTTAAAATTTGACTCAAAGATTCTTCCATGGCTGCATATAGAAAGCTGTTTTCTGTTACTTGGAAGTATTATAACCTATTCCTATTAATAGAGATTTAGGTCATTTCTTTGTATTTTTAATGATGCTACAACAGACAGCCCTGTACACCCTCCAGTTTACACATTTGCAATGTATCTCAAGAGTGGGGGCCCCAGAGAAGAGGGTGTTGGATGTAGTGGGAAGGGGAACAGCACCAAACTACTCTTGGTGGTCTGCTCTCACAACTTCTCCAAGACAACTCTAGCTCAGTCATCATACAAGAGAACGGGCAGAGATGAAGTCAGGAAAAGGCTGGGTAAACAGGGAGTCTATGATGGGAAAGAGGGAGAAGTTGTAAACATTGGGGATCAGCCCCGAGAATTTGTGCCAGAAGCATCAAATGTCCTCAAAGGGGAACAGGAAAACCAGGTGGGCCATAGAATCAAATCAGTAATCAGGAGGACAAAGGTGAGAGGAAGAAAAGCAGAGGTGGACTAAATCAAGGTGGAAACAAGAGAGGAGGCAAAGTCACAAGAGTAGGGATGGGAGTGGAGCTGGCAGAGGGCAGCTGGGGGACTTTTTCCGAAGCATTACAAGTTCCTCCCATGGCCTGTGGGCTAACAGCAACTCTTAACCCAATGGACATGGGACCCTCTGACACTGTGCGGCCTAAGACACCAGGGACCCAGTCTTTACCAAGAAACACTTGCTAAGACCCATTATAGTCAACAGTGACTTCCTGCAGGAGCCATCCCATGCTTCTTGGATAGAAGTGACATGTACAACCTTAGGAGCCCAACACCACTGTTGAGGAACCCAGAACTCTCTTTTAGGTAATGCGTTGCAGGATGAACCCTGCAGAAGGTGTAGAGCAATTCCTGTATTATGTGAGGACTTCCTGTGCATCTCCATGGCATCGTGGAGAAAAGGATTTGGATTCAGAAGAGGAGGCTTGACTC